TGACTTTTTTCACTAAATATCATAAAATTTTAAATTTACTCACCATTAATAACAATTTCATTTCTATATAATAAAATTCTTTTAGTTTTTTTAAGTATAATATTCTATTAGTATTTTCATTTTTCATATCCATTCCTCAAGCTTTTTTGTAATATTTTGTTTTGTTTTTTTAGATAAACTGCCAAAATATCAAATAAATTTCAAATAGAAACGTGTCAAATACAAATAACTTTTTGTGTAATGATCTAATTAAATTTTTTGTTATTATATTTGTCACCTATTTTAAAAACAATAATATATAAAACTAAGGTTAAAACAGTTTTTTTAATATAATAAATATGAGTTTTTCTTTTTGTGGTGATCTAATCTATTTTTTGTTAAAATATTTTTTAAATATAATAAAGATGAGTATTTATTTTTATGTAATCATGTAATTACATTTTGTGTTAATATGGCATTCACCTATTTAAAAAATGATTTTTACGTACTAATGGACATTTTTATAACCTAATAAGAATTAATTGTCCAATAAAATATTACACCATCATAAGATTATTAACAATTGATATTATGACCCAATCAAAAATTAGAAAACTTCCACCTAGGATGCTTAGGTGGCTTCACCAGAATCCTTTAAACTCCTTTATTAATATATATAGATTATCCAACTAAACGTTATACAGTAATGTGCAATTTTTTTATAACTTTTTTTTTTATAACGTAGGAATCCACAACCACTATCTTTCACTATTGTAATGGGTAAAAGGGCTGGGCACAAATACCCGAAAATCGGGTATCCATTGGATACTCGTCTCACGGATACCCGATTTTAGAGTACTCGTAATTTTCAAATCCGAATCCAAATCTCACTTTTTCAATATCCGTGAATCCGAATCCAAATCCGGATAATAGAATTTTTAAAACCGGATACCCGCGGGTACCCGACAATTATGATTATAAATAATTATATCTTATATTTATATAATATTTTTATAAAATATAATTATTTTAGATTAAATAATTTCATATATTTTAATATTAATTCAAAAAAAATAGATTTATTATTATTTATCTCTTATTATCTCCTTTATCTCATATATTTTATCATAATTCATCAATTTTTATAAATATATCTTCATTTTTTGAAAATTTTATATATGAATGTTGTTGTTTTTCTTAAATAAATCCGGATCCGGATACCCGTGAATACCCGACCATTATTCCGGATACCCGTACCCCGGATACTCGTAAATACAAATCCCGGATACAAATCTTATAACTAAATAACCGAGTCTCCCGGATCCAAATCCAAATCTCCCAATTTTTCCGGGTATCCGATCCGTGTCCCCTAATGGATAAACCCCACCTTTCTTATAATAGTTTACAAATCATAGAAAAATATAAATGAGTATTATATCTATAGTAAATAGATTTATAGGTGGGGAGATTAAATGAATTCGAACCTTCAAACTTTAGATTAAAAGTTCTAATATTCAACCAATTCATCTGAGGTTTTCCTAATAATGTGCAAATTATATAACTGCATGGCCATGATCAGTCATGGATATGCAAATAGCCACGGAAAAAAATAAAATGATAGTGAATCTCCAGGTTGGAGGATTTAGAATTTGGTTTGAAGAGGCTAAACCGAAAATCGAAAACGTACAAGCTAGAAGGCCGGAATTTAAGTGGATCGGAGTAAACCGGACGAAATCAAACGTTTTGAAAATACGGGTTTACCCTTGGGACGAAATCGGAATCTGTCTCCAAAGTCAGAGAAAAACCAATCTAGTCATTTTATTGAAAATATCAGAAGATATAAAATATGAGTAGGATCTAGTTTCATCACCGAGATCACGTAAATAAGTGTGTATTTGTTAGGACCGTAAAAAAATATATGTGCAAGTAGATCATTTGCACATGTGGTTTTTAAAATATTAATTATTTAAAATTTTAAATATAATAATTATTTATTTTAATAAATAGTATATGTAAAAAAAATTTAAAATTTAATTTTATCCATATTTTTATTATTAAATTTGTTAAAATAATCAAAATATAATTTTTAATTATACTTATAATAAAAATATTTATTTTGTTTCATTATTTTTATTTATTTGAGATAATATAGTATGTACTATGATTAAAATTAACATTTGATAAAGATTAAATTATTCAATTTTTCACTTTTTATCTTCATTTAATTATTGATAATTTATTATCTAATAATAATTTAAATTGATAATTTTTAACTGACTAAATTTATTGCTTGTATTCTAATCCTTTTTATCTAAATATAAAATTACATCCAAATAATCTTACAATCTTTTCAACTCAAATTTTTTTAAAAAAATAATAGAAAAATAATTTTATATAAGTGAATAATTGGTATATTCATGTTATTTTGACAAGATTGTGTTTTGGGATATTTTTGTTATTATAATTATTATTATTGTTTTGTTTTGTAATGGAATAAATGCAATTTCTGCTCTGCAGCTTTAATTACGGTTCAACCACATCCACCGCACTGTGTGTTCGCAATTAATACAGGAAAGCACCACGTCTCCTTTGCTGACCAAAGAACCATAGAAGACTAAATCTTATTATTTTCAGAGAACCCAAAAAAAAAATCTTTCAAACTCTTAGGAGCGACCTTAATTCTAAATTCTTGTCGGAAATATATTATTTATTGGTCGGAATCTAACAAAATGAAGATCTCCTAGTTGATTTTTTTCTTCCATGTGTTTTTCAAGATAATGACAAAATAATATTAATTTCCTAAAGAATTTTGAGCGATTGTGCGAGAATTAACAAAAAAAAAAAAGATTCACTTGTACTAATAAATACCTTTTGTGATAACTTTAAAAAGAAAAAATCACGTATAAATAACCAAACTTTTACATAAATCCAAAACTTATGAAAAATTAACAAATAAATTTAAAATTCGTTAATTACATCCCTATTTTTTATTTAAAAAATATATAAAATTTGAATTTATTTTAGAAAAGTTTCAAAAGTTTAGGTATTTATAGAAAATTTTTAAAAATTTAAATATTTATATACAAATTTTATAATTCACGTATTTATCTGGAATTTTTATAAAAATTTAGATATTTAGATATTATTTTTTCTTTTAAAAACACTATATATATATATATATGTATGTATATATACACATATTCAATATTTTTATTGTCGACAATATTATTATATGTAATATATTACTTTATCGACGGTTGTTATTATATGAGATATAGATATATCTCCATTTATCTTAGATTACTTTCGTTCTGTGTGTTTTTTCAGATTGATTGGATATTGGTATTCAAACATTTAATGTCCACTAGTACGCATTTCTCTCATTAATAACGACGGCCGAGATGACAGGGAATCGTTTTCGTAAGAAATAATTGATAATCCGGTGTCCGGATAGAGTGTCTGCGACGGGACACGTGTACGTAAGTTTCCAACAACGGTCCAAGTGATTAAATTATAAATATGATAACCTATGGTTTCAGTTGTACCTAATTGCCATATGTGCCATCTCACGAGATGCCAAAATCACGAGTTCCATAAATTGGACAGGCTGAATGTATAATTAAATTAGCAAACGTATATATACCATTAAACTAAACAAATATAGTCTATGTATTTTTCGGTTTTCTAATATTTTTGTATACAAACACTATATATGGATTAGGAATTTCAATTGGGAATGTATATATAGCACTGAAATTTTATGTGGTATTTTTTATTGTCATTTTATGGGCATATATACCCACGTAACTTTATAGGTTAGTGTGGGCGTCGGTGTTTCGGTTCGATTTTTCAGAATCGAAAAATATGGTATTTTTGTAATCTGAAATGTTTTAATTTTTTTTAAATGGTATTAATTTTAGAAAAATCGAATTTTCTATAATCGAACCGAACCAATTTTTTAAAACCCCCAAAAAAATCGATTTTTTTTTTTAAATCTAAAATTTTTAAATACAAACCGAATTGAAATCGAAGCTAACCGAATATAATTTAATAACCGATTGATATTCATTTTTGTAAAATTAAAAGAACCGAACCGAATCATTCTCCACTCGAACCCGAACCGAATACGGAATGCCCACCCCTTAAAACATACAATCCGTAGCTATCATTCTCTTAATATATGACAAATTCAAGAACAATATGTCAATATATAATAACCCATGAACTCTTACGTATATCTGATTCAACTTTGAAAGACGTGCTTAGATTTATTTATTGAATAAGGTTTTGACTTGACATGGGTGGATGTGGTTAAAAGGTACCGATATGTTTTCAGTTGTCTCTATGATTAAATACGAATTAGTATGAGATTCCAACTATGGAAGACTAGCTAGTAATAATTAGTTATAAAAACATTCGAAATATTTAAATCGAATTTATATTTTCATGTGGCGCAACCAACATGAAACTCATGACGCAAAGCTCAATAAAACCCTAGAGCAAATAGCCCCCTGTCTCTGGGTGATATATATATATATATATATATATATATATATATATAAAGAATGTTTTGTATCACAAACACATTTTTTTAGAGGAATATAAGGATATAAAATAGGTCAAATCTATACAGTACGCGACATAAAAATCGGACATATTTCTCGGGCAGTTCACATGAAAATCTAGTACTATATATATGTATAATACGGGATATATTCCATATTAGCTATATATACGATATATCCCGTATTAATATATATATATACACACACACACACACACTTGTACACATAATATTGTATTATGTACTTGGTTTGGCCTATATATATATATTAACCCATCTTCTTGTAAGTTTGTTTCACGAGAATCCGAGGCTGCGGATTCGGTACCTTTTGTAGCTCGCTTTAAAGAATGTCTTATATATATATATATATATATATATATGAATATTCTTATATATAATATAATGCAGTCTGACGGAAGTCTTTCATCTCTGTCAGACAATATAAAGTTATATATTTGTTTATACAACAAATAATGACACGTGCATATGTGTGTGTGTGTATATATGTATGTAAGACCAAGATAACCAATGGATGACTTTGCTTTCCCCTCCTCTTGCCCTTTTTGTTTTAAACAGATATACTTTTCTCACTGTGCAAGAGCTAGAACAACAATGGATGAACTGTTTTCTACTCCATGGCTTCACCTAGAGGTAATAGTGTCATCTTCAATAAATTAGGGTTTTTCCTTCTAACTTTTTAGACATTCTTGTTGTGTTCGCAGAGCTTTGAGGAAATGAGGCTCGTGCTACATAACACTCTGCTTGGACTGGAGGCACTCAGAATCCAAGCCAATGAACAGGCGAGAATTCACCAAGAAGAAGTGACCCATCTCCTCGATCTTGTGAAACTCGCACAGCAAGAACGGGACGAAGCAAAACAGCACCTGGCTCATCTCCTCATCAGGAACCCTAAACCAAGCATCACGGATTCCAACAGCTTCTCTCAATCCTCTTCTCCATCGTCACCAGAACTCTCGAGCTTCGTCAATCAGTATCAGCCGTTGATCCTCGAAGATCCAGCGGCTCGGATCGATCCTTTGGACGATCTTGTGGAGGGAAAGACCTTGCCGGAGACAGGTAAGCTTTTGAAGGCCGTGGTCGAAGCCGGGCCGCTGCTCGAAACGCTTATCGTGGCGGGAACGCTGCCGCAGTGGACAAACCCTCCGCCGCCGCTGCAACCTCAGCGTTTTGCGGTACCTTCTGAACTGTCGACGCGTCGTGTTCTGCTTCCGTTTCGAGGATTGGGTTCGGTTTGGTTCCGGTTATCGATAACCGTATGCTTACGGGAAAGAGGCAAAGATTAGAGTAGTGGGTAGTAGTGACTTGGACAATCGTTTTTGTCCTGTTTCTTGATGTAATATTGGTTAAACCGGTTCGATTCTTTTTTCTAGGTGCCGGTTTAATGCTCAAGAACTCGATTTTAAAGAAAGATGTCCAAGGAGACATTCGTCACTTACATTGAATGATATTTGTTTTTTTTTTTTCAATGTTTTGGAAAAAAATTGTTTTATTGTCATTTGAATTATGAATTATATAGAAAAATATTTTAGAAAATCTTCAAATTTTTATAACACTTTGATGATTCAAAAATTCAAATTAAACTCCATCTACATAAAATATATTAATGTAATTGTTTTTTACTTTAACGAACTTTAAATGAAAATATGAGGAAATAAACGGATGAATATTACAAAATGTGACGGAAAAAAATTGTTTTGCAGTCTAAAAAAGAAAAAAAAAATAATACACGAATCTGGGCCCAAAATAAATAATTCAGCCCCTTAGTGGTCTTTCGGCTCACTTAGGGCCGCGCCGTCTACGTTGTAACGGTCGTACGATATATCTCTCAAGTGCGACACGCGATTTCGCTGTTTCCGTATTCCATTTCTCCTTAAATTTCATGAGCTTGGCTTCCCGTGGATTCTTCAGGAGCGAGCTTCCATGGCGAAAGTGGAAGAGACGAAGCTCGAAGAATCTCCCCAACGCTACAAGCTTCTTCTCACATGTCCTTCAGGCCTCTCTCCGTCTCAGGTTCCCTCTCTTTTTTTCTCCCTCTCCATCTTTGCTCTTTTCCACGCTTAATCGGATCACAAAGTGTTTGTTTTTGTCTCAGATTCGTATGTTTTTTTATTCAATATAAAAGGTTTCGGTTGATTTCTCTGAAGCGTATGACCGGATTCCTCATCCGGATCGTGATCTCGAAGATTCTATTGCTCAGGTGAGTTCCTCGCGGAGAATCTGAAACTAGATTTTGTTTCTTTTTCTGGAATTCCGTATGCGTGGAACATGCTTTTAGTCGTGCGCATCCAGAATGTCAGTCTAAGTGAGGCGGTTTATTTATTTGTTAATAAGTGTAGTCGAGCTCTTGAGTGGAGCTTAATCTTCATGGCGGAATTCGGATTTTTTCTACTCGTTGCTGGGATTGAAGTCGCATTTGTATCTTTAGCCCTATTCTGCTTGGTTTGCGTTGGGATTTCGGCAAAAATGCTGTAAACAATATAAGCTTTTCTCCGAGTTGGTATCAACTTTTGGTGTAATTGATTGATGGTTTGTCTTTTGCGCCCTTCAGATATGGGAGCAGAGAACATATGGAAATTCATCATTGTTCAATGGCCAAAAGTTCAGGGTATGCTTAGAATCTCATAGATCGTTTTCAACTTTTTCAGTGCTGTGTTTTATCTTATCTGTTGAGAATCAGGGTAAATTGGGTTGTGATAATTTGCCTATGATGTTGGTGTTGCTGAATCAGTTCCTTTTTGTAATCCTAATTCTCTAGACCTTTTCTTCATGGACTGACCTGTTTGTGTTTATACTAGAGTTTCTCCTCAAAGCAGCTGCTGCATTTTGATAAATTTTTTTACCAGAACCCCTAGTAACTGTGATATTGTTCGCTAAGTTTGCTTGTAGTTATTTTTCAGTATGGATCCTATGTCTTGGATTATGATGTTGGGTCCAATGAAGTGTCGAACGTTTGCCTTTGCCTTGGCCTGACGGATTATAGGTTTCTCCCTTCTCTTTATATCTCTTATCTTCTAGTGTGATTTAGCCTCCTGGATTGGGGCTTCAAGCTCTAAATTTGGTTTAGATTTTATATCTTGTGGAGCGCATAGTCCCTTCTGTTTCGACTTATTTTGTTACTTGGGGGAAAATTAATTCGTCTACATTTTCTCCAAGGACTTTTGTGGGGACAAATTTGAGTCCTATGTGGGAAAGGTTCCTAGTTCCATCAAGAGGTATATATATCTGCACGGCTGTTACCGCATTCAGAAAAATTCATGTGATATCAGGCATCTGCTTATCCCTTCAGCTTTCTTCTTCTCCAGATGACTCCATAAGATGCCGGCATACCTCCAGTCCATTGGGTAATGGTGCAGTTATGGAGACTTCTGACAAGAAAATCATTGTCTTAAGGAGGAGTAACAATGTCGGGGAATTTCCGGGACACTACGTCTTTCCCGGGGGACATCCAGAGGCAAGCTTTCATATCCCTTCTTCTGGCTCCCTTGTTATAGAGGAATGAACTTTTTTTAGCGTGTTTAATTGGGTTTTATCGGATGAAAAGCCAAAAGAAGTCGGCATAACATCACACCAGCTTAGCAAGGATTTAGAGACTCGGCAACTAATTAACAAGAGGGTAGCTCAGGAAATGTTTGATAGCATTATCCGAGAAGTAGTTGAAGAGACTGGAGCACCCCCATCGTCCCTCGTAAGCCAAGATTAATTCTTTTTTTCTTTTTGAAGTACAGAGAGAGGTTTTATAGCTCTTCTCCTTATTCACCAGGAAAAAGCAGTGATATCAGGTTGATATTTGATGTATTTGCACAGAGTTCCCCTCTATTTATGGGAATATCAAGCAGGGAGTTGAATGTGAGACCAGCTGCGTTTTTCTTCATAAAGTGCAGCCTTAATTCAGAAGAGATTCAGAGATTGTATACTAGTGCTGAAGATGGGTATGAATCTACCCAGCTCCATACCGTATCCCTGGTGAGTTCCATCGATTTGCTTCTTGAAATCACCAACACCATTTTCGTATTATACCGTAGAAGTTCAATGTATGTTTTTTTTCCTCCTTGTGGCCAAATGGATAAAACCCTTTTCGTGTCCAAACAGACGGAGTTGGAGAAAATGACATCTCTAATGCCGGGATGCCATCACGGGGGATTTGCTCTTTTCAAACTGATGCTTGAACGTCACACAAGCTAACGGTCTTTTCTGTCTCTCTTTGTTTCCCATCACCCTAACTATAGTTATATTTACTGTGTGGCCATCTAGGATTTCGGTTCGGTTATCTTCATAAATTCGGTTTTTTCAGGTTTTTAAAATTTAATAAACATTCGAATTTTATTTTAAATTCGATCCGATTCAATTGTATTTCAGTTTTGATTTGATTTTTACTCATTTCGGAAGAAATTTTCTAAGTCGATTCAAATTTAATTATTTCGATTTTAGTAAAATCATAATCAGTTTGATTTAGTTATTATGATCATGTTATTTAATTTTGAGAAATTCGATTATTAATCAGATTGATCCACCCTAATTATATGGGATCATATTCATGGTCCAGTTTTGCTCTCATCTGTTCTACCAAGTCAGCGCACACTACAAAGTTGATTCATAGGTTTTTGTTACACCGATTTTCAAGAGACGATTGATTGATTTATTTATTTGTTTATGTTTATTTATCATTTATGTTTGCACCAAATTATTATTATATAGTATAAAAGTTTCACGTTCACATTCACATTCATGCTAACGGGTAAACGCAGCAAACCACAGAATTCAACAAGCAAATTATCGCTCTTAAAAAAAATCATCCAACACAACTGAAACATTATATAGTAAAGAAACCTTACAGCTCACTTGCAGCAAGTAGCTGCGACAAAAATCAGATGAGGTTACAATGAAAAAGAACTCTGTTACATAGTGCCAATTGATTCATGGGGGAATCCTTGAGACACGTGGCTGTAAAATATGTACAGCAATATCTCCACAGTGAGATTTCGAAAAAATCGATGGCTGCAAACCCTTTGATTAACTGGAGAAAAGGGGAATGAAATCGCATGCGATGCAGGTTCATAAGACCAAGGGGAAAAGCAAATGTCTTGTCGAATTCAAATTTAAATCCGAATGTCGTAAGATCGATTATGATCACTTTTATTATGCCTAAAAATCCATATAGGGTCACAGTTTAAGCGCAGGTGAAGAAAGAAACATACCCAATTGTCCTTGAGTGCCACCAGCAGGACCAGGGAACGACCAATGAGATGTTTCTTCTGTAAATTACTGACAATTTTCATCAATGATACATCTTTGAAGAAACCCAGTTTCAAAAAATGGATAAAGTTTTAATTTTTTTTTTCTTCTCCTTTTTGAGGTTTTTGCATTACGGTTTGAAGTTTGTCCGAAGGATGTTTGGTCTGTTCATGGATTCTAAACGCTATCCTTATCATATTGTAGTGAAGGTTAAGAAAGGAAAACATCATATTAAGTTGAGGGTAATTTTATTTAGAATCAAAGGATAACGGATGAGAAAGCAGCGAGAATTCCATTTCAGAAATTATGAATATTAATCTCCTCCCTAATGATCGACATCAACCTTAGTGGTGGTGACACAAGACATCCACTTGCGTACCCATCTGTACACGACCCCCCTACTCGACGGCGTCGTTTTGCCCTTCTTCTTCTTCCTCATCATCAGTCTTCCTCCCAGACATCTCCCGTCATTTCTCCGGTCAGCCACGTCATCATCTCCGGCGCTGATTTCTTCTTTCCTCGAGAAAGTGTAGCTCCTGAGGTAGATTTGCCGACAAGATATGCCGTCGA